CCCTACTGTATTTCTCTCTCTCTCCCTCCATCTATCTACCTACCTACTCTCTCTCCCTCCCTCCCTCCCTACTGTATTTCTCTCTCTATACCCCTACCTACCTACCTACCTACCTACCTATTCTCTGTCTCTCCTCCTACCTATCTACTGTATTTCTCTATTCTTTTTCTCTCTCTATCCCTTTATCTACCTATCTACCTACCTAACTACTCTCTCTCCCTACCTACCTACTGTATTTCTCTCTCTCTCCCTCCATCTATCTACCTACCTACTCTCTCTCCCTCCCTCCCTCCCTACTGTATTTCTCTCTCTATACACCTACCTACCTACCTACCTACCTACCTATTCTCTGTCTCTCCTCCTACCTACCTACTGTATTTCTCTATTCTTTTTCTCTCTCTATCCCTTTATCTACCTATCTACCTACCTAACTACTCTCTCTCCCTACCTACCTACTGTATTTCTCTCTCTTTTTCTCCCTCTATCCCTCTATCTACCTACCTACTTTTTAAAAAATTTGCCTCTTCAAAACCTCGGTGCGTCTTATACTCCGAAAAATACAGTATTTAAAATATGTTAAATGATTTTCATTTTGTTTTGCAAATGGAGCTACAAGTTGTTGAAAATTACAGAATAATGGCATCTCTTTATTTTTGCCTCTTTAGGAGTAACAGGTAAAAAATAGGTTTGTGATTAGAAATAAATGCCAGTATTGTAGAAAAACAGTTAGGTGCTCTAGGCTTTCTCTTCCACTGTACCAAATCAAAACAGAAATAATCATTTTTCAGAAAACAGTCAAGAAAATGCCAGGATTGTAAATAAACATCACAAAAAACATTCCTGAACTTGAAGCATATTGTTGTGGGGAAAATAGGAAGAGGAAGGTGTGGTGAATAAGTTTACCGCCTTGAGCTATTTGTAAAAATTATAAAAGTAGGATACAAAAAGAAATTAAAATAAAACAATAATTATTGCAGTATTAGTAATTTCTCCTTTTCATTTCTATTCTCCTTTCAGCCTGTAATGGGAGAAGCTTTTATATCATTTCTGTTGTTGGTTTATTTCTTCCTTTGGTTTTCTCGTTAACTACATACATAGAAGATGGATTTCAAAAACAATTTAAAAGCTCTGTTGTTTTTGTAGACATAACCACAGCATACAACACTGTTTGGAGGCTAGGTGCCATCTGTAAATTGCTTTGAGTAACACCTTGCAAGAAAATATTCCGGCTCATTGATAGCATGCTCAGCAATAGGAATTTCTGTGTAATTACGAGAAACAATATTAGTAATGAGAAGATTCTCAACAACAGCCTCCCCAAGGATCAATATTAGCACCATTCTTGTTCAATTTATATACGTATATGTCTGTCTATCTGTCTGTCTCTCTCCCTCCCTCTCTTTCTCTTTCTTTCTCTTTTCTCTCCCTCCCTTCCTCCCTCCCACTCTCTCTCTTTCTCTCCCTCTCTCTCTTCCCCCCTCCTCTAGCTGACCTACTTTAGGATTGCCATATGCTAAATAAATAAATTCTTCAATTGCCATGAGTATTTCCAAATACAGGACAAGTCCTTTCAAATCTTAATCTTTTGAGTCAAGTCACTGATAAAAAAATTATTGCCTCAAGTTCCTGAAACATGTTACTCTAATTTACTTCCTTTTGAGGCAGCAATGTATAGGAACCAGAAAACTAGAATAGCCTTACTAAAGCTTAATGTAGACATTAAGCACCCCACCCCACCCCAAACTTTACAAACCCCCAATTCTGTCCACGTGTGCAATGGGACCCCTGCCATATCCTACTGCAGTCCTTGAGCTTCTCCAGATAAGGCTGTTATCTGCAAGTAGTGAAAATAGAGTGCAGAGTTGTTCACAGAAGGAACATCATTTAAATAGGGTGCAGAAGTCATGTGGCTTGAAAATAAATCTTCTGTGGTTTCTGCAGGAGTTGGGATATCTGGGTTGTCAGTGAAGGAGATAGACTTGGTCCAGCGATGGCCAATTGCTGACTCATCGAGAGGTCTTAACAAACTGAACCCTTTGTCCTCCTTTTTTAGCAGTACTGAATCTGTGGGAAATGAAGGCCTTAATCTCTCTTTGGACTACTTGATTTGATTTGATTTGATTTATTGCATTTCTATGCCACTCTATTCCCAGAGGGACTCAGGGCAGCTCACAAACCAAAGTAAGGGGGGGGGGATACAAACAGGAGGAAAAACAATGAACAAACAACTACAACAGTTTAAAAAAACACTCAACAACCACACAATTCGAGTGGGGGCGGG